TCAACTGCCCCCGCATCACGCGTCCGGCGCCGCGCCCGGCTTCGCACGCGCCGAGCCCCCGCCGCCCACGCCCACGCCCTACCCGCCTTCACGCCTCGCCACAGGCCAGTGTACGGCGCCCTACGTTGTCGCGCCAGCCGCCGCTATGGCTACGCGCCGACGCCCCTCCTGCCCCACCCGCCCCGCCACTCGCCCGCCCCGCAACACTTTCAGTGGGGCGCGACGCTCGGCGCGCAAGCAAGCCCGCTCAGTGGGGCATCACTTGATATAGAACCAGGACATCCCAGCCCGCCGCCGGCTTGCACGTGGGAGAAAATTCACAGTTCAAGGATGAGGACAACACTTTTGTTAGAGGACGCTGTATGTGTGACAGGTTTTAAAACATTTGAGGATCGCGGAGAATCGTATCGCTCTTTCGCCGCTCGTATTTCATCCGCCAGCCTGATGAACTGTGCAATGGCTGATAACACGCACGGAAAGTGGTTCGTATGCAGTGGAGTGCAGTTGAGATTAAGATTATTCAAGAAAGAATTTTAATTCTTTTCGATATCATCACTAAAATGAAGGAATAGCTCCATCTGATTGGAACAGCCGTCTAGCGATGTTTCCTTTTTTCCCCACTGTTGAACTAACCACGTTACCAGGCGTTGCGCTTTTTTCCTATGTGGGCTGGCGAAAACCCGGGTGGGAGGGTTAACCCGAACTCAAAAATTTTATTGTGCTCTCGCAAGGTTGATGCATGTATTTAACTACATCTATTGCTTTCAAACTCTCTTTGTTCATATCTTACGATGTTGAGTTCTTCATCGTATCTTCTTTTCCTGGCTGCGGGCTGGCCAGGCGGTGCCCGTTGCAACAGCGGCCGCCCGGGGGCAGCCGGTCAGGTGCCAGGGGTTGCGGTGGTGTACAGGCGCAGAAGCACGCATGGATACGCCGCTCGCGCAGCCGATGGTCGCGCAGCAGATGTCCGCGCAGCGATGGTCGCGCAGCAGATTGGTCGCGCGTACGGGCGTCTTCCTGCGCGCTGCTGCCGCCGCCCCCCTTCCAGTTCCCCACGGTGGGCTCGGCGGGGCGCGCGCAGTCGCTCGGCACGCCGCACGCGCTAACAATATAGGTGGGATTTATTTCCGGGTAAAAAAGAAAAAAGAATGAGTGTGCCCGGTACGTGTGGTGAAGTAACTATACGCGCACCTTTTTTTTTGAACTACAGAATTCTTTCTCCCAACTTATTTTACTAAACTTTAGTTAAAGATAAATAAAGAGAGGTTAGGTTACTGTAGAAAAACTAAAAAATTTTTCTCTGGAGAGTATTAAAAACTTAATTTTATCAGCAACGAACTAGGCAACAGAGCTGCATGAAGGTTGACTCAATTTGAAAAATTCTGAATTTACACGTAAATGGAAGTTAATTTAATGTTAAATTTATTTAGCATGATTTTCCAATTGAGGTTTCATTGAATATTCAAGATTAGACATTTGTTACTTTAATATCAAATGCGTATTGTTAAGTTCTCAATGGCGCGTGCGTTGCTTGACAAGTGTGTTTCATTTGTTAACCCAGCCCGTAACAGCCCCGGGGGCACCTCTGCCCGTTACGCTGGCCGTCATCCGCCGCCTCCATCGCAGCGATCATGGTCTGGCGCAGTGGCAGCGTCATTTGATTCAGGCAAACATCATCTCTGTGCTGAAAAGGAGGCGGCTCTGCTTTCTCGGCACGTACGCCTCTGAAGCGACGTCGTTAACCAACGTTGCACCGTCGTAGTTACTGACGCTTGAAGACCTCTCACCAACGGACTCCGACGAAATGATTCGACACCAGCATTACTGCACACGAAATGCGGAAGAACTACATGGAAAAAACTCTGCGGCACTCTGACTTCAACTCGCAGTCATATGGCAACACAGAAACCGCACGCAATGGTGAATATTTAGCATTAATGAGATGCTGTTGAGCTGTCTATTCTAATAATTAAATACCCATCTAATGCTCGCCGCACCACCTCCCGTTATTTTTTGAGGATAACTCTCTACAAATGATAAGTAACTTACCATCCTCGTCGTTTGGTGTAAAACCAAACAATACTTAATAATTACCGCATATTAATTATTAAAGTTCTAGCTCAACATGCGATTATATTAGATGGCTTAATATTTCACGCATCTGCGTGCGTTGTGTTGGCCATTGACCTGCTTGAAGTCAGAGTGGCGCGCAGTTTTTTTCCATGTAGTCTTCTTCGCATTCGGTGGTGCAGTATGGCTGGTGTCGAATGCATTCGTAGGAGTCCGTGTGTTGAGGAGGTTTCAATTCGTCAGTAACTACGACGGTTGGGCACGTGGTTTAACGACGTGGCTTTCAGAGGCGAGTTCGTGCCGAGGAAGCAGAGCCGCCTCCTTTTCAGGCACAGGAGAGTGACTGTTTTGGCCTGATCAAATGACCTTCGCCACTGGGCCAGACCGCATGATCGGCTGGCGATGGAGGCGGCGGAGGCGGCCAAGCGGTAACGGGGCAGGAGGTGCCCGGGGCTGTTACGCGGCTGGTTTAGAACAAATGAAACACACTTGTTCAAGCAATTCGACGGCCATTGAGAATTAACAATACGCATTGATATAAGTAACAAAATTGGTTAGATCTTGATATTTCAATGAAAACCTCAATTGAAAATCCTGTAATAATTTAAATTAAATAACTTCATTACGTTAAACAGTTCAGAACTTTTTCCAAAATTGAGTACCTTCATGCAGCTCGTTGCCTAGTTCGTTTGCTGATAAAATTAGTTTTTAATTACTCTCGAGAGAAAATTTTTTAGTTCTACAGTCTAACCTCTCTTTATTTATGCATTTAACTAAGCTTTAGTAATAATGGAGAAAGAATTCTGGTGTTCAAAAAAAGTGCGCGTATCAGTACTTCACAACTCGGCACACTCATTCTTTTTTTCTTTTTTTACGGAAATAAATCCGACCTTTTGGTGTGCGCGTGCGGCGTGCCGAGGGACTTGCGCGCGGGGCCCTCCGCCGAGCCCCACCGGTGGGAAACTGGAAGGTGGGCCGGCGGCAGCAGCGCGAGAAGACGCCCCGGCTGCGCGACCATCTGCTTGCGCGACCATCGGCTTTGCGCGACTATTGCTGCGCGACCATCGGCTTGCGCGAAGGCGGTCCGGTATCCATGCCGTGCTCCTGCGCTGGTACATCCACCACCGGCACTGCCCCTGCACGGCTGCCCCGGCGGCCGCTGTTGTGCACGGGCACCGGCCTGCGCAGCCGCAGCCAGAAAGAGATACGATGAAGAACTCGACAATCGTAAGATACCTGAACAAAGAGAGGTTTGCAAGCATAGATGGGTTAGTTTAAATACATGCATCAATTGCGAGAGCACAATGAAGATTCCTGAGTTCGGGTTACCCGTCACCCGGTTTTCGCCAGCCCAAATAGGAAAGAAGCGCAACGCCTGGTAACGTGTTGTTTCCAGTTGGGAAAAAAAGGAACATCGCTGACGGCTGTTCAATCAATGGACGGTTTCCTTCTTTTAGTGATGATATCGAAAATAAATTTCCTTTCTTGAAAAACTAATCTTAATCTGCAATGCACTCACTGAAGTAACACTTCCTGGGTGTTATCAGCCATGCAGCAGTTCATCAGGCTTGGCGGATGAATACGTGCGGCGAAGAGCGAACGATTTCCGGGACCTCAAATGTTTTAAAAGCCTGTCAAAATAAGCGTCCTCTACAAGTGTTGTCCTCCCTGACTGTTGAATTTCTCCACGTGCAGGCGGCGGCCGCGCTGGAGGTCCTGGCGTTATCAAGGATGCCCACTGAGCGGGCTGCTTGCGCGGCCCGCCCCGCAACACTTTCAGTGGGGCGCGACGCTCGGCGCGCAGCAGCCCGCTCAGTGGGCATCCTTGATAACGCCCAGGACCTCCCAGCCGCCGGCCGCCGCCTTGCACGTGGAGAAATTCAACAGTCAGGTGAGGACAACACTTTGTTAGAGGACGCTTATTTTGACAGGTTTTAAAACATTTGAGGTCGCCGGAAATCGTATCGCTCTTCCGCCGCACGTATTCATCCGCCAGCCTGATGAACTGTGCATGGCTGATAACACCCAGGAAGTGTTAGTTCAGTGAGTGCAGTAGCAGATTAAGATTAGTTTTCAAGAAAGAATTTTATTTTTTCGACATCATCACTAAAATGAAGGAATACCTCCATTGATTGAACAGCCGTCTAGCGATGTTCCTTTTTTCCCAACTTGAACAACACGTTACCAGGCGTTGCGCTTTTTCCTATGTGGGCTGGCGAAAACCCGGGTGGACGGGTAACCCGAACTCAGAATTCTTCATTGTGCTCTCGCAAGTTGATGCATGTAATTTAACTACCCATCTATTGCTTTCAAACCTCTCTTTGTTCATATCTTACGATGTGTCGAGATTCTTCATCGTATCTCTTTCCTGGCTGCGGCTGGCAGGCGGTGCCCGTGCAACAGCGGCCGCCGGGGGCAGCCGTGCAGGTGCAGGTGCCGGTGGTGTACCAGGCGCAGAGCACGGCATGGATACCGGCGCCCTTCGCGCAGCCGATGGTCGCGCAGCAGATGGTCGCGCAGCCGGGCGTCTTCTGCGCGCTGCTGCCGCCGCCCACCTTCCAGTTCCCCACGGTGGGGCTCGGCGAGGGCCGCGCGCAGTCCCTCGGGCACGCCGCACGCGCACACCAAAAGGTGGGATTTATTTCCGTAAAAAAGAAAAAAAGAATGAGTGTGCCGTAGTGTGTGAAGTACTATACGCGCACCTTTTTTTTAACACCAGAATTCTTTCTCCAACTTATTTACTAAACTTAGTTAAATGATAAATAAAGAGAGGTTAGGTACTGTAGAAAACTAAAAATTTTCTCTCGAGAGTAATTAAAAACTTAATTTTATCAGCAAACGAACTAGGCAACGAGCTGCATGAAGGTTGACTCAATTTGAAAAAATTCTGAATGTTTAACGTAATGAAGTTAATTTAGTGTTAAATTTATTTACATGGATTTTCCAATTGAGGTTTCATTGAATTTCAAGATCTAGACATTTTGTTACTTTAATATCAAATGCGTATTGTTAATTCTCAATGGCGCGTGCGATTGCTTGAACGAGTGTGTTTCATTTGTTAAACCAGCCCGTAACAGCCCCGGAGGCACCTCCTGCCCCGTTACCGCTGCCGCCTCCGCCGCCTCCATCGCAGCCGATCATGCGGTCTGGCCCAGTGGCAGCGTCATTTGATTCAGGCAAAACCATCATCTCTGTGCCTGAAAAGGAGGCGGCTCTGCTTTCCTCGGCACGTAACGCCTCTGAAGCCACGTCGTTAACCACGTTGCCAACCGTCGTAGTTACTGACGAATTGAAGACCTCCTCAACACCACGGACTCCGACGAATGATTCGACACCAGCCATTACTGCACCACCGAATGCGAAGAACTACATGGAAAAAACTGCGGCCACTCTGACTTCAACTGCAGTCAATGGCAACACAACCGCACGCAATGGTGAATATTAAGCATTAATTAGATCGCTGTTGAGCTAGATACTTCTAATAATTAAATATGGTAATTATTAAGTATTGTTTGGTTTTACACCAAACGAACGAGTGGGTAAGTTACTTATTCATTGTAGAAGAGTTTTATCCTCAAAAAATGTGTGCGGCGAGGAGCGTGATATGGTATGGAAATTCGCTTATACTTCTAGCAATAAATGTCAATCAGAATATAGAAATACAGTTGGCTCTAGTAGTAGAATTGTTGCTGTATTATTATTATAGTGTAAACCCGTGCGCATAAGCGTTTCCAGAGGTGCTAACATGCCAATAACACTTGATACCAGAGAATTATTGTACCCGAGTAATCATATTTAACCACAAAACGTAAAATAAATGAAAAAGACATTATTTCTACAATAAGAAAGTTCAACAAGGATAGTCTTAAATTACACCTGAATAGTGTATTCCTGTAACTAAATTTAACACCATCATATTGAAGAACATTCGATGTTAGTATTCTTATTTCCGTCGCGTGCGCAGCGTTCATGCAGTGCCCGCCGGGCGAGCGGCCCTGCGCCGACGGCACGGGCTGCCTGCTGGAGGCGCTGTGGTGCGACGATTCGGTGCACTGCCCCGACGCCAGCGACGAGGCGCAGTGCTCGTGCCGCGTGCGCGTGCGCCGCGACCGCCTCTGCGACGGATTCTTCGACTGCCCGCTAGGCGACGACGAGCAGGGCTGCGGCGGTGAGTCACTTCCCGCGCACGCCTCGCACGCCAGTTGCGCAGCGAGGAACGTCTCGGTCAAATGGAAATACCTGAGTTGTGGACCTCGTTCAAGAGGGTGGGTCTCGGTGAAGAGGGTGGGTCTAGGTCAAGGGGTTGAATCTCGGTCAAGGTGGTGAGTCTCAACCAAGGGGGTGAGTGTCTGTGAAGGGGGTGGGACTCGGTCAAGGGGTTGAGCCTCGGTCAAGGCGGTGAGTCTCAACCAAGGGTGTGGGTCTCGGTGAAGGAGGTGGGACTCGGTCAAGGGGTGGGCTTTGACTAACAGTGTTGGCCTTGATCGAAGGTGTAGGTTTTTAGTCTGGTGGACGACCTTGAGTCAAATGAAGTACGAATCACAATGTATTAGTACAAGTTCCTTTCGAATACTCAAGAGTATCGGGCCACACCTCGACTAAGCCAAGAGCCCAACTCAGGCCACTCGGGTTAAGACCCGGGCGGCCCTTCACCTCAGCGTAGCACTAACTAACGCTACCGCCTTGCCGTGTGTCGGCAGCGTGCCCGCCTGCGACAATGCAGTGTGGCGACCCGGCACAGGCCACGTGCGTGCCCCTGGAGCAGCGCTGCGACGGCGTCGTCCACTGCCCCGACGGTCGCGACGAGATCGAATGCTCCGCGCTCGTCGACACCGTGGGCCCGCTGCCGGTGAGCACCTCTCCTTCTTCCAGTTTTTGCTTCATCTCTCTCTCTCTCTCTCTCTTCGTCTACTGCTGCTCTGCATTGATCTTGCTGCACCCTGTCTCTCCCTGGCCTCATCCCGGTGCTCCTCTCCTGTCTTCTCCCTGATCTCTCCCTATTGTGCTTTCTTTCCCTTGCTCTCTCTCTGTCTTCTCTCTCGTCTCTCTCTGCTCTCCTCTCTGCTTTCTCTGCTCTCTCTTCTGTCTCTCTCTGTCTCTTCTCTGTCTCTCTTGTCTCTTCTGTCTCTCCCTGCTCTCTCTACTTCTCTCTCGTCTTCTCTCTGTCTTCTCCTGTCTCTCTCTGTCTCTCTCGGGTCATCCCCTTTCTCTCTCTAGTCTCTCTCTCGTGCTCTCTCTGTCTCTCTCTGTCTCTCTCTAGTCTCTCTCTCTGTCCTCTCTCTGTCTCTCTCTCTTGTTCTCTCTCTTCTCTCTCTGCTCCGTCTCTGTCTCTCTCTCTGTCTCTTCTACTTGTCTCTTCTCTGCTCTCTCTGTCTCTCTCTCGTCTCTCTCTCTGCTCTCTCTCTGCCTCTCTCTTGTCTCGTCTCTTCTGTTCTCTCCTCTGTCCTCTCCTCTCTGGTCTCTCTCGTGTCTCCCTGTCTCTCTCTCTGTCTCTCATCTGTCTCTCTCTGTCTCTCTGTCTCGCTCTCTGTCTTCTCTCTCTGTCTCCTCTCTGTCTCTCTCTGGCTGTCTGTCTCTCTCTGTCTCTCTCTCTGTCTCTCTCTGTCTCTCTCCTGTCTCTCTCTGTGCTCTCTCTGCTCTCTCTCCTAGTCTCTCTCTGTCTCTCTCTCTGTCTCTTTCCTCTCTGTCTCCTCTGTCTCTCTCTGGCTTCTCTCCTCTGTCTCTCTCGTCTCTTCTCTCCTGTCTCTCTCTCGTGCTCTCTCTGTCTCTCTCTGTCTCTCTCTCTGGTTCTCGTCTCTGTCTCTCTCTGTTCTCTCTGCTTCTGCTCTCTTCTCTGGTTTCTCTCTCTCTGTTCTCTGCGTTCTCTCTCTCCTGCGTCTCTCGGCTCTCTCTGTCTCTCTCTGGTCTCTCGTCTCTGTCTCTTCTCTGGTCTCTGCTTTCTCTCTTTCTTTCTCTTCTCTCTCTCTTCTCTCTCTTCCTTCTCTCTTCTCTTCTCTTCTCTCTCCTTCGCTCTTCGCTTCTCTCTTCCTCTCTTCTCTCCTCTCTATTCTCTGTCTCGCTCTCTTCTCTTCTTTCAATCTTTCTCCCTCTGCCTCTCTCTGTTTCGTGACATTCTTACGACTCAGCGAATTGCACTTTTAAATCGGCTTGAAACCCACTTGGTATTTGCACAGGAATTCCCCGTAACGGTTGCTGACCAAGGACTGCTGCACCGGAACTGGCGCGGTGTGTGGTACCCCGCTTGCGGTGAAACAGAGCCGTGGGGTAAGGAAGTCTGCACCGGCGAAATATGGCCCATATTAGGGTAAGTCCCTCGTGCAGATATTTCCATTATATGTGCAAGAAAACGATAATCGTAATTTACATTTCGACTTTGTTCCCCCTTCTCACCCCAAGTGAATCGAGGGGGCGGGGAAAGGTAACTCACAAAATAACATTTATTTGCTGTGGCATGTGCCATACGGTAAACACGTTTGGATAAGAACTACGTTGAGAGATTGAGGGTATTTCATAAAAATTTGGAATTAATTTAACAAAAAAAATTGTTCGTATCTTACATCTGAACTTTCCAACACATTAAAGTTTGAATCATTTGGAGTAACATTACAATCTTGTTACTTCATACAGGTTCAATAGTAGTTTATCTAATCTCAAGACCTTCATTTCGTGATACAATTTTATAGAAAAAATTCTTGTAGTCAAGTGCGACATTCCAAAAGTTTACTTCCCTTTCAAATATTTCATGTGGCCCCGTCAAAGTAATATTTATTTACTTTGACTCCTGTATCGTGTTCTATTTTTCTCTCTCTTCCCATTCTGCGGCGTACACGCTGGACCGGGCACTCTGATGGCGATCTGGTGTTCCTCTGCAGATCTTCTAGCTCTTACTTTACGACCAATTAAGAAAAGAAAACGATCTCGAACACGTTTACACAATATAATGTTCAAATTCACCACCTAGAAAACCTTTGGATGAGAGACGATAGAATTTCCTCACTAACTGGCCTTGACCATCAACTAGTCTCCCAACAAATTCTTAATTTGGAATAGGTTAAACAAGAGGCGAAATGGAACAGAGCTAGAGAGAATGACTTCAAAAAAGCTAACATGTATAGCGGCCACGAAGCTCATGGGGAGAGAAAGAGAGAGAACCATGAAATATATATATATATATATATATATATATATATATATATATATATATATAATTTCACACCACACCCACACCACCACACCACCGTTCGTAGGAAAAATGTACCACTAATCTTGGCGTCGACCGGGATTTGTCCAAATTGTCATCATGGGCCACATTCGGACTCAAATGTACGTCGCCCCATCCCACTAGCATTTCAAAATAATAATAATAATAATAATAATAATAATAATAATAATATTTTGAATCCGGTATCGTCATCCGGTGGTGAAATCGTTGGCTGGTATATCATCGTTGTTCGAGGTACGTCAATCAGAAAGGCTGGTGTCATTTCTTTATTGTTCATCAAATCCAGAAAATATTTCAGGTTGGGGCAACTTTAGTTCGGATACCCTATAAATATTATGAAACAATACCTAATTTGTATAATCGTTACCTTGAAATAAAAAATGTACCAATGTATAGATAATGTCGCTAATTGTCGCTAGGGACGTGATAACATCTTCATGTGATAATTTTTGTTATAAATTGTGAAAAATTCTCAAAAATGTTGGCTTGGAGTAGTCTAACGCCCCCGGTGCACTCCTTCATCCTGGTTCTGCCGCTTTTTTTTAACTTGGGGACGGTGAGCTAAACTAGCGCGTTCTCTGTAGTAGTTGGCGGTCCCATCCGGACCTCTGATCTGATCGTGGCAATTAACTATATGAAGCGGGAATGAAATAATCGGGAAAGTCGTCATGCCCATTCTTCCCGTGCAGGAACATGCAGGTGCACCGCGTGCCGGCGCACGGCTACCCGGGCCCCTGGGTGCACGTGGACGGCGCGGGCGCCGTGACGGTGGTGCCGGCGTGCCCCCAGGGCGCCAGCCTGGTGCTGTGCCCGCACCCGCCGTGCGGCACGCGCGTGCAGACGGCCACGCACCTGGCGCAGCACACGGGCCACGCGCGCCAGAGCGCCGACGCGCCGGCCGCCGCGTGGAGCGACGCCGTCGGCCAAGGGCTCAGGGAGCGCGCCGCCGGCGACGCCGCCGACCTCCCGCCGCCGCCGGCGTCCTCATCCTCGCCCTCTCCACCCACGCCCCCGACCACGCGCTCTCCTCGTGGGTACAGTAGCACGCCAGCGCCACACAACGAAACGGTGAGCACTAGCAGAAATTAGACATATCTCACAGTAAAATGACAACTGAAATTTTCTTCATAAGTTTTAGAGATTGGAAGCTTCAGTCTGTGTACATGTAGATTGAAGTCAACCGAGGTGATGAGTGAACAGATTGGTTTGTACGAATTGCATTGTGACACTCATTCAGATCATATTCTTCGAAACTTGAATTTCCATGTAATGACGAAGGCTTTACCGCAGCCGCAGTCATGGGAATAACCCCATGACTCTGGCTGTCCGCGTAACACAAGCGGAGCTGTCCAAGTAACACAATGTCGAAGTGCAAAGCATTTCAGTATCAAGGAAGGTCACGCCAAAATGGTCGAAACGTCAGCATCAAAATCTTTGTCAGGGCGTCACCCACGCCGCCAAGATCATTCGCAATTTAATGCATCCAAAATCAGATAATTATATTTTTAATCGAATTTGTTTTCTATCAGCGGATGTGAAATGCAACACTGCTTAAATTTGTCATTTACAAGCATTTTTACTTTCTTACTACCGCTTCCGCGGTAGAGAGAAAGTTATATCATGTTGCGCGAAAAAACGGCGAATTATTAGCAGAAAGATTCTTATTACAGAGCCATGGCAACGAAATCGTGAATAAATTCAGATGCTAAATTTTATATAAATTCTCTAACACGAAGTAGCCAGATTCCAATTTTTGTGGGTTCTTGATACCGAAAAATCGATTGACGGATAAACTTCTGTTCGTCTGTCTGTGAACAACGCTAGCAGCAAATCCGTTCGGCTGATTTTCTCCAAAATTGATATTCTCCTGTCTATCTGACTTATGTCGCAGTCACTTGAATTTGAAATTAATATTGTAATTTTTTGGGGGGGGAAGTAATTAATGTGAAGATCGTGGGCCATTTTCAAAATTTTCAAAAAAAAAATGCCTCCATCTTTTTTGAGTAAATTTTGTTGTTGGATAATATAAATAAAATTTAAGAGAATGGTGTGGATCAAATTTTTCTTGGAAACCAATTTTTCGAAAATTGTAAAAATTCAAAATTTTTTCGACATCTTCCTACAACTAAAATATTAAAGATAGGGATTTTTCCTTGAATAAAATCTGTTCCTTGAAGATAGATTTGAAATAAAGTCATGTACAATTTTTCGAAAATTTGACTATTATTCGCATACTTTTGCGTTAAATATAGGCAATTTTTATTTTGATTCAACACTTTTTCCTCAAAAACGACTACATCGTTTTTTATTAAATGTTGTTGTTGGATAGTCTATAGGACGTTTAAGAGAATGGCGTATGTTAATTGAAAAATTCTAATTCTCGAAACTTGAAAAAACTCAAAATTATGAAGATACGATTTTTTTCAAAAGTTATGTAGATACAGTTATTCTTTTCTACTGAAATGTGTTTTTTAAAAGAAGAGCATCAAATAAGGTCATATTCAGTTTTTGAGTAATTTGGAAAATAATTTGAAATGGTAAAGTCTAATTTGAAGCGCTTCGTTGAAGGCGATGGCAGTCTGTAAATGTAATTTGTGAGGCAGAGGCAGTTGGATATTTTGAAAATTCTTCTCATTGTTTAAAATAATCTTTATTAACTTAATATTACAAATCGTAGAACATTAGGTGCGAAAATGTATATCTATATTAGTTGCAATGTAAAGTTCCCCCCACCAAACCTCGCGGGTGAAATTCTTTCTTCCCAACCGTTCAGACAAACTCGGACACCCTTCGATCCGGGGGAGGGCGCGTTGGCCAATCGCTACAGTCAATGTATGATAATTTGAGATTATTTTTTCAGCTCTGGCCACAAGTAGCAATGTAACAATAGGATCGTCACGGTATGGCGTGAAGTGCACAGAATAATCTCTCATTGTCAGGCAGTGGTTATAAATGACTATTTCTCGTGAGAGAAGGTAGTATCGGCAACCATAACATAGTGGATGTAAATAGAGAATTTAAATTTTGTATTTTTGGTGTTAATACCGTATATGGAGAGGTGAAAAGAGCTTGGATGCTGTCAGTCGAAGATTGAAAAGAAATATTACCTTTAATATTATGTAATCATTAACTCTATTTTAAATTGCACTGAATTCTGAAGGCTATTATGATGGCGGCCGTTGGTTTGCATCAATATAACGAAAATTTTATTTTCGGTTAAAATACGCATCGCGCGTCGTGAATACACTGTATTCAATAGAAGAAGCTGTTTTCGTTGAAACGTTTGAATAAAAGAAATAATATATTTTTCGCGCTTTGTTTCTTTAAGAATTTTTCAAATAGTGTCAGACAGAAATTTTCGTATTACGATATTATTATATACAACTAAATCGGTAATGTAATTAAAATGAGGTTCAAAATGATTTGTTATTTATTATTGCTATTACAGCATAATTGACCTTTATCAATGGAATCATTCGTGTAACTCTTACTTGGGGTACAGATTGTGCCAAGTGAGTCTTGAATGTTTATTGGCTTGGATATGGGCTACTCATTTGCATCAGAGACCATGGGATGTGGAACTCCCTCCTTTGAATCATGGACCGCTGTCTGACACAACGACACAAAATGGACACTTGACACAAAATGGACCAGCTCTAATTAGGTCTATCGGTGATGCACGTCAAGACGGAACCACACTCACGGCATTCGGTGAGTAACGAGCGGATACTCGCCTAATCTCTAGTAGTGGGATGAGTTGCTTTCTGAGCGACAATCTTTCGGTCCAGCCTTTGCCTAATGATCTTTTGTTCTCTTTGATCTTCCACACCAAAGATAGCGAATCTTCCCCCAGCTACCACTTGGCCGTCGCCGAATGCCGCATGTGAGGCGCCGTCTTAACAATCGCTTACGAATTCCATGTAGTATTCAAAGAATACCATTGAGGGGTTGGGGAAGATTTAATGACGGACCCCAAAATAAACTGCAAAATAATTGAAGAATAAAAGTATATATTTACAACGTAAGGTAACATGTACTAAGCGATATATTGCAAACATTTTCTTCAAATTTACGTTAAAATATTTTCAATTTTTGAGGTAAGACAAAAATGTCTTTTTTATGAACTAACATTCACTAAGTTGCTCTAAATGGCCAACTGTCCTCCACACCGACAGATATTAAAAAAGATGCAACGTATTTACAGGCAGTACGAGAACACTAGTTTTCTCGAAGCGATTTCGCGTGGGGACGGCTTAGAATTGTTTTGTAAACATCTAATAAGCGTTGAAAGACGAAACTATCACTTAGGGTTGAGAAAGGCTCTAATAATATAAGTTCTCAACGTTGAAACATTACCACCTTACCTAAACAGAGATAGAGGGAAAAGACAGGTCCGGTGATCGTCGTTACCCTCTCTCTAATGGTGTATGCCTGTTAACCGGAAACGTGACTGGTGCGCGCAGGGGCTGTCTGCACTGGAGGCGTCGAGCCCACTGCCCTCACCGGAAGACGAGCGGCTGAGGCTCCTAGACAGCACGACGTCGCAGCCGCCGCCCGAGGCCTCCAACGAGGACGCAGATGAAGACACTGAAAAGGACGCGGACCAGCACTCGACCGACGAGGACAACGGCGAGGTTGTCAAAGACCAAGACAAAGACAAGGGCAAGGAGAAGAGCAAGGGCGAGGGCGAGGACGAGGGCGACGCCGAGGGCGCCAAGGCGACGGACATGACGTACCTCCGCGGCGAGCGCATCGTGGGCGGCTCGCCCAGCCTGCCCGGCCGCTGGCCCTGGGTGGTGGCCATCTACCGCGACGGCACCTTCCACTGCGGCGGGGCCGTGCTCGAGGCGCAGTGGATCATGACGGCCGCGCACTGCGTCGACAAGTGAGTACGCAAGACGCCGGCGCTCGCGGCAGAGGAGGGGCGATATGGAAAGATGTGATTCGCATACTGATTTCGGCCAAAGTCACTTTCTGTTTAAGGTACAAGAAACACTCGTCGTAATGAAACATCAGTACCTTTTGGAAATCATAAAGTAGATTTTAGAACATTCCAGTTATTTGCTTAATGCAAATTTGTTTCATTACGAAAGTGCCATTTCACGCAGACAGGAACGTTTCCACGGAGCACAGTTTGGAAAACACTTAGTGTCTCTCATATTATCTTCGTTCATTTTCCCAGCATCACTAGTTAGAAATTCCTTGTTCAATGCTGCAAATATATGAATATTTTATTCTTTATAAGACCTCCGGACAGTTCATTGTTTGTTTGTTTTTAATAACATTAAATCGTGTTTTAATAAATCCTCTGAATGTAAATCCTAATACACAGGGAAAATATGACAGTTTTACACGAATTATAAGAAACGAATGATATAAAATTCCATAACTGCACGACTAGTTAGGAAATGGTGCATTCTTCACTGATGTATCAAACAGATTTAAGACGAAAAAGACAAAGCTCGCAAACTACGATGTAAGGGGAAAAGAAGGCGAGCGTGCTATCTGGAACACTGGAACACATGTCGCATTTCCGGAATGCTGAAGTAACTGGAAAAATTGAAAATTGAAATTTTAAGGTAAATCAGTTCAAAAAAAATTTAAGTGCAATAAGTATTTATCTCAGGCTTTGTGCCAATTACCGTTCATAGCATATACTTCCCTCTTTCTGGAAGGAGATCGCCATTTGTTTTCATGGAATGAAGTTGTCCAAAATTTCAGAGATATAAAATCCATTTTCGTAAATAAAAAAAAACAAGAGGCACATGTTTGAAATACACTTTGAATATCGTCGATCAAAGAAATCAAATGAAATGGCGGAGAAATCAATTCGCGCTCATGGAGACAAAACATTTTTTGTGCTAAAACTATGCTATAATTTTGGAATAGTGGACGAGTTCTAGATCTTTTAAACATCATTTCAATGTTCTTTCGGGGCAGGAGTTATGTTTGTGTTTCCGTAAACTACACGATGATGCATTCTGAAGCGTTTTGTTACATTTTTCACGGCACTACCTGCCTTAGAATTCTCACAAACGTTCAAAATTGCGTTCCAGTATGAAGCGATTTTCATTTTTAAAACAATGATTTACAGAATGCGAAATGGTCTCACAGCTCCACCTGATTATTAATTATTGCAACCAAGTTCTCCTTCTTCTCCATTTCAGGGATTAGGCAAAAATGCCTGTTCCGTCTTCACTTTGCACTTCAGGACCATCTCTTTCTGGGTCGGCCGATATCTCTTC